TCTAAGTCACTTTTTTGGGGATCACCTAGCCTCATATCTACCCTGAAATCACTTGCAGTGCTTCGTAGGAACTCTACCTGAGGCACTCGGAATGACCGTTAGCTTCATTCAGGAAGGGGAGTTTCCCATTGAGAGCCCCCTGACCCCCACTTTACACAAAAGTCTACCAACCTGGGCTGCTCATGACATTCACACCCTGGATGAGTACCTTCACGTAGGTGGAGTAGGCGGGGATCTTGAGCACAACTGTATTTTTCCTAATTAAAGCTTCAAGCATGCTGCTTAGAATTATTAAGAGCCATTGCAAAGATAATAGTCTATCCATTAAAATGACCCTAACTTTCATTTTTTTATCTTTTTAATTACACAAACCCTTGGGCATATTTATAATGATGGAGAACGTGACAGGAGGCTGTTCCACCATCCCCAAGGGATGCTCTTGGGTGGACTAGCATGGGGCTCGCCAGGTTTCCCACCTTTCCTCTGATCAGGATGCTCTTCTTTCCACCGACCTCTGGTTGAATTAGAACTTGTCACCAGGTAGGAGGAAAATCGAACACAATGTGATTGCACCAAGGTACTACTGCCCAGAAAGGTTACTTGGGTGACCATTCCCACCCACTTTCCTCCTGAAACCAAGGATGTGCTGTCTGACTTGAAGATCCACTTGAGGGGTTTTGTATTTTCCAGCAGATTTCGGTTTGTGACTTTGTTAACGTTTTATATAGAAACATAGGAAAGGGTGATGAGCCAGGTACTCCCCCTGACAGACCGTCTCTGTGCTGTTTCCCCTTTCCTGTCTTCCATAGTGTAGTTTTTTTGCTTTTATCAAGCTCATAACCTGGATCACTGAGCCCTAATTGCACCGACAGCCACACACTGGGGAATAGAAGTGGCTTTGTGGAGGCTGAGTGCCCGCATAAACTGGATGCTTTGCAGTCCCCCAGCTGTGTTGGAAAGTCAATATCAAAAGTCCCCATTTTGCCATGAGAAAATGTAAGGCTCTTAGAGGTCATGTGGCTTTCCTGAGGTCACACAACTTATTAGAAGTAGAACCACTTCCAAAGGCCAGGCTTTGGGGCTCAACAAATAAGCTGTTCCGCTGTGTGTACTGAACCTGGACTTCTGCATGTGTGGACACTTCCGCTCCTAGTTGAGGATAGTGCCAAAGGTAGGATTTGAACCCAGGCCTGGTGTACCCTGTGATTATGCATATTCATCAAACTGTTCTTGGGTAATTATTGTGTTGGATATTTGCCAGGGTCATGAATGAAATTCTCAAGGAGTTCCAGTCAAATGCAAGAGAGAGACATGGGAAATTAAACCCAGCGTGAGAGCAGGCTGTGTGCAGGGGAGGGAGAGGTCAGTGCAGCCTGAGACAGCAGGGACTTGGTGACTGGAAGATGGTGGCTGCCGCATTGAGACTTGAAGGAAGAGCAGCATGTGGAGGAGGTGGGGGAGGAGCATGGTAGAAGCCGTGCTACTTAAGAGGATGAGTAATCTATTATTGATGTGCTGCTTTCTATCAGAAGTTTTCCCTCACCCCAAAGATTCTTTACTTTTCTTGCCTTTCCTGGGGCTTTCTTTCTGAGTACAAACTCATTCAAATGCTTCCTTTACCTCTAATTGAACACTTGGACTTAATTGATTATGTATTAAGTTGGGGACTTGGGGCGACATTCGGGCCTGGGCTCATGTTGAGATTAATTTATTCCTGTAGTCTTACTGTTTGGTGATGCATCTGAGTGTCTCACATGTGTGTTAAAAATAAAGCTGAGAGTCAGGGCCATCTAATTAGATGGCTTAACCCAGCACGGTGGTGTTCAGTGTGCACCCAGCTCTCCTGCTTTGATGGCAACCAAAATAGATGAATAAGTTAATCAAAGGTCTGATTAAATAGCACAGCTCTGCAGCATAGACCACTGATTGCCAGGCTTCAGTTCAGGCAGATTCCCAGAGGAGGGAAGGAAACGAGCTGAGTTCCACAGGCCAGGGCTTTCATGAGGAAGAGTTTTATAAAGCACACTGGAGGGAATTGCTCACCAAGTTCTCAGATCTTAAGGTGATGGCTAGTCAGGAAGCCAACTCCCAAAGAAGGGTAATGTGGTTTTGGGGAAAGAGCACAACCACCTCCTGGCAGATACTAACTATAGCTTGTGGCTCGCCTGCTGCGGGAGGTGGACACATGGCTCAGCCTCCTATGCCATTGATTGATTTCAGGTGTGGATTTTGTGCCTGTTAGTATGTAAGGCCCTCCCTGTGCTTCGTTCCTGACCTTGCTGTTTAGTTTCTGTACCTGCATTAGCAGCAGGACTGCTGGTTATGACAGGTTTGTCCATCCAGGTCCTCCCTAGGCCTCCGCTGCCCTCTTTGGGCCCCCTGAGACTGACACAGAAGGGCGGCACCCCTTCCCTTCTAGTCCCCATCTGGATTGGCAGAGAGGCACCTACTAGGAGATGGGGGACTTGGGGAGAGTGAGGGTGAGACAGGTGTCCCAGTTCTTGTCCTGTGGGCTGCCACAGAGAGGCCTCTAGTGAAGGCTGCTGCACCTGCAGGTGGCCTTGCTTATGGGGCTGCCCTTTCTGGATTCCACCAACTGCTGTCTTGGCCTTGTCTGCTGGGGTGGCACCTCTCTTCCCAAGTATCGGTTCTGTCTCTAATTCTGTATGCACTGCAGTAAAGAGTCCTTTATTATTATTATTATTATTATTATTATTATTATTATTATTATTTAGTTGTAGATGGACACAGTGCTTTTATTGTATTTATTTATTTTTCTATGGTGCTGAGGATCGAACCCAGTGCTTCACACATGGTAGGTGGGCGCTCTACAACTGAGCCACAATCCCAGCCCCAGATTCCATCTATTATTAAATTGTCCTTAGACTTCCCAGTTTGGGTGTGCTATCTATTTACACCCTCACAGATATGAAGAAGTACACTCTTACAGGATCTGCCTTTTACCAATGGCAGCTGAGACTAAGCAGACTTGTCCAAGGACACATGGTGATTGTTGGTACTGGAGTCCAAGTCCAGGTGCACCTGGCTCTAGAACCCAAGTGTTCTTCACACCAGGCACCACCTTCAATAGGAAGCCATTCAAGAGATGTCATTGTACTTGAATGAGGGGCCCAGTCAGCATTGGGGGAGCCTAGGCTTGCTGAGAGTCTTTCCCATGCCAGGAGCTTAAATCTCTTCACCCCCTTTTGTTTTTCATCAAGCATATAATGTAGGCATGTAGGTATATAGACACAGAAAAATGCCCCCAGATGATCCCTCTGAAGAATTTGATGTCTTGTTTCCATTTCTTCTTTCTCTGCATAAATTTCAGAGGATGTATTTCCATGCCATTTGAGAACTCATAGTGGGTTTTAAGCAAAAGTTGTTTTAAAGCTTGCTTTTTTTTGTTTGTTCTTAACCATCAAAGCCAATTTCATTTCGTTACATCTTAATCTACATTGTTTCAAGCCGCTGGATAGTATGCTATCAATCAAAAGTGTATCATGTTTTAGTTAACTGCTCAATTTGGGGACATTTGGATGGTTGCTATTTCTTTACTTTATAGCATGGTAACAAACATCTTTGAGAATAGAACTTTGGTTTTTCATTTTAAAATTTGATTTTTATTCTTTTTTCTTAAAGAACAGTGTCCTCTAAATGGAGTTCAAGGACAAAAGAGTATTTTGTAGGATACTAAAGATGATCCCATTTCCCAATAAAGGGGTTTTATCACAAGTTACCTCTTGAGAGTGCTCTCTAACTAACTCCAGTGGAAACTCCCCTTCACAGCTGGGATGGCACCCCTGTCCATAATGACCTTCACAACTGACCCTGCACATAGGAAAGCTGTAGTCACAAAGTGTAGCTTTGAATACCAAGTGGCACCAAGAGGTGTGTGTGCCTGGCTGATGACTCTGTTCACCTGTGGGGCACGGATGGTTCCCGTGTCCTATGAAGGCTGCAGTATCGCACCCCCTGGGCTGTTCATTGCTGTCCCTGTGTATGGAAGCTTTGTTGCTGTTAGGTGAGGACTGTCCATAGATGATGCCCCAGCCCTCCGTGGGCATTTATTTGAGAACATCAAGAAGGCACCAGTACTAACCTATTCAATTACAGCTTAAAAAATATAGCTAAGCATAAGCTTTAAAATGCCAGTAAGTAGTGATGTTTATAATGCAGGTTTGAAATATGACTTAAAACACACACACACACACACACACACACACACACACACACCTGCCTTGGAACAATTTGGTACTGGTTGCAGAAGTATGATTCGGTTTTTGTTCCTTTTTGTTTTCTTTTTGCCTGTCTTTCTTTTCTCCAATGAGCCTATATAATTTCTCGAATAGCCAAAATTATATTTTAAAAAACTTCAGCATGGGATTTTTATGTAATAATTATTTCATAACTATTGCTTTTCCTCTCACTAGATTCAGATTTCTTTCCTGAAACTGGTGCCGAATGTAAATTACATGAACAGAACTCTAAGTAGATATTCATGCACTTTTTCAACAAATTTGCATTGAATACCCCCCAACCCCACTTCTGGCCTGGTGTCACATACCTCGAATCCCAGCTGTTCTGGAGGCTGGCAGAAGGATAACTTTAAGACCAGCCTAGGCAGTTTAAAGAGATTCTGTCTCGAAATAAAAATTAAAAAGGGCTAGGGATGTGGCTCAATGGTAGAGCACCCCTGGGTTCCATCCTCAGTACTGGGGGGAAAATAAGTCAAGTTCCTTTCTTTTATCATGTTCTTATAATCAAAGATTTTGTTAGCACTGGTTGCATTGTTCTCTTAGCATAGTAAAGTGGTAGCAAAGTTGATTAGAAGAGAAACAAAGGAGAGCCCCCTCAAGGGAGCATGGGTCCTCTAGGAGAGGGGAGCTAAACTCAGTGCTTTATGTGTCTCAGGCACCATTTGTAATGTTTTAAGCAAAGAATTAATATAGTGACTTTTTCCCCCTTCTCCAACTCCCTTTGTGCCTTATCCTGTCCAGTCTGAAGTTTCTTGGATCCCCAACAAACATTACTCTGGGATTTATGGCCTGATGAAGCTCGTCCTGACCAAAACTCTTCCTGCCAACCTGGAGAGAGTCATTGTCCTCGACACAGATATCACCTTTGCAACTGACATCGCAGAGCTCTGGGCTGTGTTCCACAAGTTCAAAGGTAATTGTGGCTCATTTCTTTCTAGTATTTGTGGCTCATTTCTTTTTGGTATCCTTGTAGGTGTGGACATGTCAACCATGGTGATTATATTTTTTTAAGGAGATGAGTTTAACTCCGGTAAGGTTGTGCTATTCAAGTCAATAAGAAATTACAAATACAGTTATGTTACAATTCTACTTCAATTTGATACATGCTAGAGTAAAACTGGAATTTCCATTTCTTTCTTTATTTTATTTAATTACTTGTGGTGCAGAGAATTGAACCCAGTGCCTTACATGTTAGGCAAGTGCTCTACCCACTGAGCAACAAGATCTGTGTTCATAGGAAGAAACCAATTTGGGATACTTTGTAACCATTAAATATCAAATGTGTGTATTTTGTATGCAGTAATTGAGTGTGGACATACTTGTGCAGAAACATGCATTTATTAGTTTTCTCTTTTTATCAAATAATTCTTTGATTGCCAAGAAAGCTTTTGAGGTAGTAGAAACAGGTATTGATTATAGAGTGTTTGAAATGTTCTTCTGGCTTTTGCTTTCCTTAGCATCATGGCTTATTATTTTGAGGTACATTTGTTTGGTTTTCGAAGTCCTCTCTTCTCGTCCAATAATTTCTTCTTAGCTCTTATTGTTGCCTTTGTCACTATCTCAAGGTATAGGACCCCTTCTGATGGACAATTTTAAACTCAGTAGTTATATTTGACTCTGGTGGGGCCTATGAGAGAAGTGACAGGTTAGCATGAGTTTAGGGCTGTTTTAATACCCCTCTCCTCCGTGTTGTGTTTTTGAGGTTCCTCTCTATATTGGGCAAATGCAATGAGAGAGCAGTTTGTTAGTGAGATCATTATATATTTCTTATCTTTTTCTTTGTCAAATTGCACACTACCCTCTGCCTAAAATCTCTCTGTGTCTTCTCTTACTTCTTTATTCTAAGAGGGTGAAATCCTCCTTACTGATTTTCAACAAATCATTTCCATAAACCCTGTTGGTTTCTGTTTCCATTCATGGGCAGGGTAAATTCCTTGCCTAGTGGTCACTGTCCGCTTCCTTCTGGGAGGATCATGGCTCTGGGCTAATTGAGGAAAGTGTTCAGCAAATCACAGGGTTGAGATGCCCCCCCCCCACACTCTATCCCTTATCAGGATCAAAATTAACATTTCTTATCTGGGTCAATAATGGCATTAGGGAGACATCCTTTAACAAAACTGGGAAGCCAGTGAGTCTCCCCTGTCTAATCTCTTCTGCACAGAATGCTGGGTGGGACCTACCCTTTTATTTCCTAAGTCAAGCCCCTGAAGTTTGGAGGGACGCAGGGTTTTGCCCAGAATTGAGATCAGAAATATGTGTGCCTTGCCTTCTCTCTGTCGCTTCTGCTGTTTCTCTTTCTGATCACACAGAACTCATTGGGGACAGTTTTTCTTTAATTGCACTGTATTTTATCCATGTTTTTATGCTGATGTTCAGTGTTCAGTGATGCATATATTCAACAACGTTTATTGCAGTCCTGCTGGGTGTCAGGCCGTGTACCTAAATCATGAAATGAGGAGTGATGAAGGGACAGTGAGAGTTGTCACCTCTCCTGGAGAGGGGCAGAGCAGTCGGATGGGACACACCACAGGGTGTGGTAATTGTGCACTGTTTTGTTGGGAAAGAGCAATAAATGCCTAAGTTCCCCTTTGAAAAGAGAGGACTCACTTCTCCAGCACCTGGGATTTCTCTCTGGCATCAGCCCTCTTTGGGGATGGGCTCTGATGAAGAGAGTGACTGTGCCTGGAACCATGCCCCCTGCCGGGATGCACCATGTCATGCATTGACTCAGGAGCCACAGGATCCTACCTGATCAGTTGCTGTATCCCTGGAGACTGCCTCACAGTCTGAAGTCTCCTCAGTCCAGTCCTGCTCATTCAGACCTGCTGTTCCCTAGAGTTCTCCCTGATTAAATGTTCATGTGCTGATTTCTGTCTCAATCTGCTTCCCTGGAAACTCAGCCCATAACCAACATCTACAGTACCGAGTATCCCTTGGATAAGTGCAACTCAGCAAAATCAGTAGGACAAGTGGTCAGAAGTTGCAGTGCTCTGGCCGGGAAATCTCTTTTATTCTGTTGCAGCCAGAACTGGCTGTCGTGCTAGCAGGATTGTGTGGGCAACAGCAACAGCAAGAATAATCATGGTTCTAATCACTCGGCATCACCTGCAGAAGGGAAGGAAACCATTCGGACTCTTGCTGCCCCTGGGGCTGCAGATTTGGAGGACTCTGAGGTTCCAGGCGGTTCCTGGGGCTCAACAGAGTACGTGGACCAAGGTCAGGACAGGACCAGGGGAACTTTGAATACCAGAGCTGAGTTATTGGACTGTCTTCTATCTGTTCATTCTTTGGTTTGTCCATTTCTAACATTTATCAGGCCCTCGAACTGTGTAAATGTGGCACCAGCCTTCAGGGAACTCCCAGATGGGGCAGATAGTGTTACATCATAAACACCTGCCGAGGAGTAGAGAACGTCTACTGTGGTCCTCCCGTGCCCATCCTAGTGATCGTAAGAAAATGCAGAGGTAAAGAGAAAATAGGAAAGCCCTTCCCCCTGCTCCACGTGTCAGGACTTCGGTATTTTCTTTTTAGTGGACTTATTTTTCCTTAATGATATCTATTAGAAGCCAGGTCATAGAACAGGGAGAAGCCTTTTAGGACAGACGCATAAATGTTCTGGCCCAAGAGAGAGAATGCCGCTCTCATGAAGGCACTACTACTTGACATCTTTTATTGTGAACATTTTGATTGACAGTGGTGCCATTTGCCATTGGTCATTTGTCTCTGGTACATTGTCTGGGGCTGCCGTGGCACTTGTGTACAGGTCATACACAGGCTTGGTCCCTCCCTAGTGCTGTGGAAACCCCAAAACCTAGCTGCACCACGTCAGCTTCTACTAAGAAGCCTGTTATTAAGGACACAGACTCGTCCTCACCACCTGCTGCAGGGAGCCCCCCAGTGGCTCTTGGAGGCATCCATGTGCACCATGGGCCTGAGTTCACCTCAGTGGCAAATGCCTACCTTCCACACCAGTGGTCTGTACCCCTCGCCAGCCTGTGCAGCCACTGGGGGTTCTTCATACCCAAAGTAACAGAACCAGAAATATCACTAGTGGCTAGAATCCAGAGTCACCCACTCAGTTGTATTTCCCAAGCTCCTCTAGTGGTTGGTTAGTTTTCTGAAAGTTGAGTTGGGAATGTTGCAAAAAAACAAACAAACAAACCAAAAAAAAACAAAAACAAAAACCCAAGCCCTACTGCTGAGAATTTAAATTTGGGTGGAGGAAGACAGAAAATAAATAATATGCATAAATCTTAGATGGTAATAAATGAATGGATGCCTGTGTGTGTGTGTGTGTGTATGTGTGTGTGGTTTATATTGTTTAAATATTCAAATAAGGTATTAATGCAAGATCCCAAAAGAAGGGTGACATTTAAGCAATGAAGTTTAGAGAAGCAGTAACCCTGCTGTGCCAGGGGACGGGGAGGAGTGTCTGAGGCCTTAGGACAGGAACATCAACTTTGCTGTGAGTTGGTGTGTTAGAGGGATGGGGCAGATGTCCAAACATAGCAGAAGGAGCCCAGGAGATGGCTGGGGTTGACAAAGTCACATCACAAGAACCTGGATCCAGAGGGGATGCTGACTCTCCTGTCAGGCACCTAGGGGGCCCAGCAGAGGCAAGACAATCAACTGTGTTTATAATGGGTGGTCCTGGCCGCCTTGTTAGGACAGAAGGACATGAGGACACCATTCAGGAGATAATTCCAGTACTCCAGGTGGGAGATGCCCTGGGCTCAGGCCTAGGTGGAGCAGTAGAGGAGGTAGAAGTCATCTCATTAGGGTAGATGTTGAAGGCCAAGTCACCAGGGGAGAGGAGGCTGGAGGATGACCCCTAGGGTGGCTGGGTGGGTGCAGCGGCACTGGTGAGCCAGAGAGGACTTCAAGGGGAGGTCATGGCAAGCTCCGGAGCTTGTGAGGCTTGTTAAGTTTGAGGTCCTGCATTGGATATCTGCATAGAGAGGGAGGGAGGCAGGCCCGTAAGTTATATTTGCAAAGCAAAGGGAAGGTAACTATTCTTTATCAAGTGCTTCTTCTGTTCCGGCACTGACTAGAAGCTTTGTACATTTGAAAGTTAAATAAACTGAGCCTGAGGGAGATTAAATTGCTGTCCCTGCTCAAAGAGCTTTCACACATCAAAGCAAAGCTGACCGCAAGCCCTTTGACTCCAGAGTCCATGCTGTGTCCACTGCCTTGTGTCGCCTCTCCTGGATCCCTGCTGGGGTGGAGAAGGGGATGCCCACCACCCTGGGAGGCAGGGTCTGCACATAGATCAGGTGTGACTGGTGATCCTGAGCCACCAAGACCCTGGAGTGCCTTAGTTAACTGCACACAGAATCAGAAGCCATGTGTGATTGTAGCAGTCCAGGGAGGAAGTTGTGGAGGCTGTGATGAGAAGCTGTTGGAGGAGAGCCTTGCTGGGCATTAAAGATGGTGTTGTCATCCCTAAGGGCACACGCCTGACTTGAAGAAGGCATCTTGCCACGGCAAGTTCTGGCCTTGAAGCAGGTTGAGTCACTACTCAGCTTACCTTCATGTGCCACAGGAGTGCCAGCGGGCATCTTTCAAGGGCCTGCCAGGCGAACCATGGCTAATCACAGCTCCTGGGCTGAGCTCTTCCTCCACACCAGCCGCTTGGTTAAGCACCTTGTGAGTAAACTCAAATAACCCGCGCAGCCCAGTGTGGAGCCGGCATTGTTCACGTTCCCTCTTGAAAATTTTGGGAACAGATGCTTCAGCTTCTCTAGAGCCTCAAAGGTCTCAAGGAGTAAATAACCCAAATCCAGTTCTCTTCACCCAGTGCCCCACTCTCCTGAGAAGAGAGTAAGGAGAAGCATCATATGGCTGTGGCCAAGAGTGTCTTTGGAGAGACAAAAGGGGGAGCCCTGGGTGATTGTGTAAACCAATTTGTAGAGG